TCAAAGATAGAAGCATGACTTCCTATCAGAAGGTCATTCCAATTCTGGGACTCTCATGGGACACCGAGAATGATGAAATCTATTGCAATTTAACCCCTTTAACATTTTTGGAGAGTGCCCACACGAAATGATCTCTTTTGTCAGTCTCACAGAGGATAGCAAAAGTTTAAAACGTCGCTTGCGGTATTTACAAAATCTTTGGATTGCTTTACGCTCGAGATTCAGAAATGACTACCTAGCCATGCTAGTCCATAGAAGAGAACGAAAAGGAGACACTTTAGAGGTGGGTGATGTGGTTCTGATTGGAACTCCAGAAAAGCGCATCAACTGGCCACTGTGACTTGTTGTCCAAGTATTTCCAGGTGCAGATGGTCATGTAAGAGTAACAAAAGTAAAAACGGCTGACGGAGAAAAAAATAAGACCCGTCCAAAACCTGTATCCTTTAGAAGTGACTCATCCCTCAGAGCTACCTCAGCCTCAAGTCTCGTTAAATCCAGATCAAGATGCAGATCTTAGAAGTTCCCCCCCCCCAACTACCAACAGCTCTGGATGGTCAGATTGATACATCAGAGCCTCTGAATGAGTCCCCTACAATAGGCAGACCCATAACCACTATGGTCGGAAGACAAGTAAAAGTTCCTCATCGACTGAATCTCTGAACTGAGTAGAGAATATGTTGCAATTTCCTAAAATTGCAAGGTTGCAGGATGTTCAGGTACGTGCACGAACTCAGTTAATACATAATAATTTAATATGTTCATTATAATGTAGATGTTTTGTGGCAACAGTGATGTTTTTGTTTACATATGCTTTGAGCGTGATAACGCATGGGATGTTATTCTTTTGATATGTTTAGAATGCTAAATAAAATAGTTCATTGTTAATTAAAAAGGTTTTCTCTACTAAATATATTACCATTCGTCCGAAGTTATTAAATAAGTAAAGAAATTGATCTAATTTCAAACAAGCATTGTAAATTTGTTCTGGAGATAACTTTTTAATATTAATGAGTTCATTGAATTCATCTGCAAATAGTTCAGCAGCTTCAGTATCAGCTGAAGGTTTTTCACCTGAAATTTTTAATTGTCTTATACCATGGTGACTTTAAATTTGGTTAGCCAGCCTGTTGAATATGTGCTCTCAATTTTTAAGTTCATTTATTCATGAAATATTTTGGCTTGAACTATTAGCATTGGAATTGTCAATGGCACGCACTTGCTGTGGTCCTGTCTGACCTATTGAATCATCACTTTGCCATGATTGTCACTTCTGACATAACGAATATTTTTTCTGTTATTCATTGCGAGTTGAGCGTGGAAATCACAAAGAATTAAAAAAATTTCCTATATCTGTTTTCTTATGTCATATACACTTGATTTTCCAGTGCCATACTCCAGGCATAATTTGGAGACTGATATACCTTTATCCACTTTATGTAGCTTTTCCACATTTTGTTTAATGGACATTGAAATATGTTTTTGCATTATAAATCCATTTACAGCTTTAGAATTAGAAACACTTTTTGATATAATCCAGAGTTCAAAACATTAATTTTCATAAAACTGCTATTATAATAAATCCTGCAAAAATTATTAAGCTGGATCAAATCAGAAAGTTAAGCAACAGGGCAATCTCCTATATTAACTGAAATTCCTTGGAATCAGTAAAGTATAATTTTAGCCTAGCTTAATAGCGTTTGCTACACATTATTGGCTATGTATCATGATATTGGTGATGAAAGACTTCTTCTGCTAAATATTGTCTTGCTTCTATCGCACACTGAAGCCTGAAGTATATTAATTTAATTATTTATTATACTTACGTGTATTTCTTGCATATGCTTTAAGGCTTATCTGAGTCATGAATAACTAAATTCTCACATATACGTAAGCCTTATTGAGGGCCAGAGCTAGATACCTTATCACTTGGTGCAGTCTCTGGGGGTCCTAAATTCTGCTACCAAGTGCCTAACCTAAATTCTTGCTGCCTGTAAATTTGGGATCCTAGTGCATTCCCTAAATTGTAAAAATTTTGTTATCCCTTACTTTTTGTTACTCGGTGCTTCTTTAAATTCAAAAAAATTTTCTTTCCTAAATTCTTCCACTTGTTGTGGCCATACCCTCTGTTCTGTGTTTATGTGAATAACAAATAAGTTAGTCTTTATTCAAATAGCACTAAATATAATCTTTTGGCCTATGAGTATCATAAACAAAATCTGTTTTTAGCATATGAAAAGAAATTTTTGTTAAATTTTTCCTTGTCAATTTTTAGCGCATTTAACTTAAATCTGTAATCTTTGCCAAGCATAATAGGAACATAAAAGGTTATCATATGTTTTGTTATTAATTATATTTAGGCATGGCTCCATGAGTCATTACTCAAGGTAATCATTTGTTGATAAACATGCGATGATGAAAGCTAAATATAATAATAATTTGTCAGTTTGGCGTTAAGGATATAAAATACTAGTAGTGTAAAATCAGCGATGTTTCAATGTAGAATGTTTAGGTTTCAGATGTATGCCAAACAGATATGCAGCTACAGAGCCAAATTACTGATCACACAAATTTATACTAAAATGATTGTTTCCTGAATAACGAGGTATTTTATTTAATGCCGAAGTGAAATTAAAAATCACAGGGAACAAAATCAAATGCGCATGGGTCACAGGAAAAGAAAGAAAAAGGTTGTTGGGAGGCTTTTGAGGTCCGCATAGATCATTCCGGATATTGGACGTCCGGATCTCGGACTTTGTACTGTAGCAGATATTTTTAAATCAAATTAATGCATATACTTTCCATACGATTTGTTCATAATTAATAAATTTTTAATGCCATTTTTATGCAAAAATAATTTTTAGCATTATTTAAATTTTAATGCTTTATAATCTTGCATTTTGTTTTATCTTTTGTGTTGCATGCTGGAATAATGCATTTAAAAAGGAGAATTTTTTTGTTATTTCTTAGGATTGAAGAATGTAGAAAAATGCCCTTTTTTGGTAGTTTTCTGTTAAAAACCCTAAATATAAAAACATTTATGTTAAATGTCAGATTCTACATATTATGTAAGAATATCTTTTTATAGTTTTTGATTGATTATATATTTCTTGATTGAGAAGATTTTGTGCATTTATTTTATTCAATTTTTCATTTCTTTTTCAAAGTGTTATTTCACATGATACATTTCCATATTTTGCTTTTCTACTTATCCCTTAGACTATGGGGTAAAAGAAAATTTCTTGTAAGCTGCGTAATTTAAATCTGTGTATTCGTATTACTCGTAACAGCATATGAGAATAAATTTTTAAAAAACTCGAAGTAAGGAGACACTAGTAGAGTTTGTCGTCCATATTCATTGTATCCCATTGTAACTATCACTGGAAGGTAAAGACGGGAAGCAAGTGGGGAAATTTTAATGCTGTTTAACATTTTCTAGTGAAGGAGAGATAGGTATTCTCACAGAATGTAAAATAATATTCTCCAATTTTTATCAATCTCTTCTTGGATCTGATTTCCAGGAATGGTGTTTTTATAGCTGTTTTTATGCCGTTCCCACATGGAAGAGAGAATGAATGGGTTGTCTAACTCCTGGTTTCCCAATCTTTTTAGTTTACCCTTCCCTTTTCAGGTTTTCTTTTTTCCTTTGGCACTTTCTTGAAGTTTTACTTAGTACCCTCTTATGGCTGCAGTTCATCATATTAATACTTAACAGTTTGTTGTGCAGTATGGAAACAAAATGTTAACAAATAAAGTCTTCTCAAAGCATTTACTATAGTGAACCTGACAAAAGGGACTGAGATTTTCTGTATGATATGGACACCTTGCACAAGGGGGGGAAACCAGTTCTATATCTTCCATTCTACTGGACCAATTGTCAAAATTTAACTTGTGTTTTCCATGTCTCGAAAGCGCGACTTAGGTTATATATTAGAGTTATATACAGCATTGTCCTAACATAGGGTATTTTGCAGAAAGTCTTACATTTTCTGGTATAATAGCTCTTTTTCATTAGCTTATTCGATTCTTCCTTTCACATTTCGAAATTTAGATTCATTCCAAATAAAATTTGCCCAATTTTTTGATTTATTTTCAAAATTTGTATTTTTAAATAATTTTTATAAATTTTTTGAAAAACATTTTGAATTATGACGTATGAAATTTTTACCACCATCTTAAAGTAGATGTGTTTCTTAGCATACCTGCAAAAAATTATGTAAAACTGTTCAAGCTCCTTAGTCCACAACCTGCGATAAAGGTTCATTGATGCAATTTATATGATTCTTGTAAAGATGTGTGGCTATATTTGTATATAATCAAATGTCTATTATTAAATAAAAATGGTTATGCAATCTAATTTTCCAAGCATGTTCTTATTGTCCATTTCCCCTCAATTTTCCTTTACTAATTCTTGGTCCAGTAATGCTGCCTTCACCCAGATATCTTCAGCATCTTTGCTGGCAGATTGTGATCTAAGATTTGAATGAAAAGCTTTGAAAGAATAGCAAAGAATAGCAGTATTAGAATTTATATTATTGCAGGTGATTTCAAAACATAAGTTAAAAATAAGTCATTGAAAGTTATGTGATTTCAAAGCATAAGTTAAAAATAATTCAAATAAATAGAAATTTTTAAACCATATTCTAATTATTCTAGGTGGGAAATACCGAACTAATTATAAAAAGAAAATATCTTTCTATTAAATTTTTATAGTTGAGATTTTTTTGAAAGAATTTTATCAAAAAGTCAATTCCTTTGCCTTCTTACATATAAATAAAGAAATATTTTGTATATGTTTGTATTTGTATAAAGTATATGGTGTATATGTTAGAAGTATTTTGTACATTTTAAATTAAAACAGATTACCGAGTTCAGACACTTGAGTTGAGCACTTGAGTTCAGAATCAGATACTTAAGTAATACTGAAAGGGCATACATTTTGTCTTTATTTCCATTATTATTATATTTTAAAAAAATAATATCCTGTTGTTTTTTAATTCTAGGCAACACAACAAATGGAAGAGAAATTGCAACAGTTTTTAAATGAATATATGAACTATGATCCCAGTGAATCTCTGGATGCTGTTGCTCGCTTTGTTCATCATCAGGTTATCCACATGGCTCAAGATTGTCTTTCACAGTCACAGAATCAACTAATCACCTCTCACTATTTTTTTGAGATGTCAGAAAACCTAGAAAAACTTCTGGTTGAGGTATATATGTTTTCCTGTACAGTATTAAAAACTTAGAGTAAGCATAAATGCAATTTCCTGTTTAAAAGTATCTTAATACTTTGACATCCACTTGCTTAGTTTTTTAGCCCAAAAGGACTATTATTCTCAGAACGGGATTCTGTGTCTTCCGCTATAAACGTCAAATCACTTTTTAAAACGCTGCCACTAAATATTATCACGCTGTAGGAAATTAAATAATGAAATATGCATGTATGTATGTATGTATGTATGTTCCTTGCACTGTGAAAAAAGAACAATATCTAGAGCCATCTAGTTTTGATTAACGTAACCTGAATTTTGAATTTCGTATTTCATATTTTGTTAAACTTTAATGAATTTTTTATTAACAAAATCAACATCTGAAAGCAACCAATGGCAACACTGTATCGAATAAAACATTTTTATCTTCAGTGCATGAGACTATCTATCAGAAATTCTATAGATATGTGATTTTTAACTATTTTGTGATTTTACAGTTGAATTGAATAAGAATATCATATTTAATTCATAATTGTTTTTTAATTTGCTTTTTAAGAATAGAGAATGTTTGTTAAAATCAATATTTAATTCATAAATTTGACACTCAAAATTCTGATAAAAAGACTCCCCCCCCCCACAAAAAATAGTTTTGCAAGCTATCTTACTAAAATTGAATATTGATATGATGAACTGAGAAAAAGACTGAAAAAAAAGTGTATGCCAACATTTAACCCTGCATTGGGAATTCTAAACATATACTGTATTTTTTTATAAACATATACTGCATTGGGAATTCTAAACATACTGTGTTGCTTTTAAAATTATTGCAATTTTCTTGTTGAATTGTATATGACACAAGTATGAAGAAAATTATCCTTAGTACTAAAGCTAAAAAGCCAAAAAGAAATGGGTTAGCATAAGTAAGTGCAACAGTAGACTGGTAGACTGCGAGCTAAGAGACAGCATAAAAAACCTTAACAAAGCCTTTTGGGTAACTATTAAAATCTGAACCCTTTCAGATTTTTACTTTTTTTTTTGTCTGCAGCTGGTATCATTATCGTCATCTGATTGCTCTGTATTTGCTTGGTAATGGCAAGTTTTCTGGATTTTTTTCTTAACATGCATTATAGAGCAGTATAAAAACTCTGCACCACTTAAATCTTATTTGAACATTTAAAGTTATTCTTTGAATACTCAAATTAAGTAGGAACATTAGATACATCTTCAATGCTGTCATTTATTTAAAAAAAATTCCATCTTACCTTGCTATTATCATTGGATTTAATTTCACTTAATACATTATTGAGTAAAATTAGAAATTGTAAAGTCTGATATACAAGTGATGATGTGCTGCTGGCTTTGTCCAAGCACCAATATTTAATCAATACAACACCAGTTTGCTAACATTGACCTTTATCTTCTAATTTGCATGTGACATCAGCTTAATAATACTGACTTTTGTCTATCACTTTGCATGTGACACCAGTGTGGTAACACAGTCATTAACCCATTGTTTTGCTCGTAGATGCTATAAGAAATATTATGAATAAGATATTTTCATTCATTGTGCAGTTATTATAAAACCTATTTTTTTTCAGATGTAAAATTCATTATGTTACATTATGAAATTCTACAGATATGTTATTTTTAACTATTTTGTGATTTTGCTGTTGAATTGAATTGTATGTGCAGTGAGTGTGAAGAACATATTTAATTCAAAAAATTAACATGCAAAAAACAAATAATAAAAAGACACACACACACACAAAATAGTTTTGCAAGCCATCTTTTTACTAAAACTCAATATTGATATGAAGATACTGAAATCAAGAAAATTTTTTAAATTCTGATAATCATATTTACTTGAATAATAATTTTTAACCTAGCATCGTATTCATGATAATTATATTGAAATGTGACTAGTAATTATTGAATATCATGTTATTAAAATTATGTTGCTATCAATATAATTTTTTTTGTGATGCGTTGTTAAGGTTAATAAATTTATATGCAATTTTTATTATATATTTTAATATGGTGAGTTTATATATATATTTTAGTGCCAAGAAAAGTCTCCTGAAGCTGCTCAGTATTTAAAAGTTTTGATCAAGAAACTTCTAGTCATAATTTCCCGTCCTGCTCGCCTTTTGGAGTGTTTGGTAAGTTTATGTTTTGATGAAACAAAGAGAATACTAGCTGTTTGAATAGACCTTTTTGAAATTTATTTTTTCATTAAATTTTTTATTATGTATTTTTTTTTTTATTATTTTTTTTAATTTTTATTTACTATCAATTCTTAATTTTATGAGGGTAATATCTCAGATGATATCCATAGCTAATTTAAAATCACAGTTAATCTGAGGCAAGTAGAAAACTCAGAGAAGAGGAATGATCTGCATTATAATCAACAGAAAAGTACTCTTAGCAAATTACCTATCATTTTATCTAGAGAATAAGTCTATTTATTAGGTACATAAATCAAACTAATATTCCAGACAAAAAGAGCACATTGAACTGTTACTCCAAGTTTTTTTTTTTTTTTTTTTTCCTTATCTTTTTGTATTTTTCAGAGACTTTTTTTTTCTTATGCTGAATGGTTTGTAAAAGTAATTTCCTCATCATTCTGCAAGAATCAGGTGTATTTTTTTTTTTTTTTTTGACAGGGCTTATTTAACTTGGCACCAATGAATGAACCTCTCTTGCTGCTTTTTGCAATTAAAAACTCATGTTAAATAATTCTTATAAAATCTGCCTTTTATTGAAACATTTGGACTCTTGCATACATTATTAATTTCTTTTTTATAATATAAGCAGAAAATCCTAATATTTACGTTTAAAGCAGAAAATGTAAGATAAATTCAGATGGCAGTATTAGTAATAATGGTTTTATTTACATACCTCAGTAATTTCCATGCATCAGTGAAATAGGAAGCTTAAGAATTGAAATAGCAGTGTATTTTATATCTTATTGTCATACTTTTGTTCAAAACTGCAGGGTGCAAAACATTTCTAAACTTTGAATGCTCATTGTAAATATCACACACTTTACATTTCCAGAGCAAAATATCAAGTAATACAACGTAAGACATTCAGTAGTTTCATAACATTCTGATATAATAAGTGCATTTAAAATTTGAAGTAGAACATTCCATTTGAGCATATCAAATATGGTATGGTTGGCCAAGAGTCATATAATGTATAGTATAATGGGATCACAGAGCAAAACTGAAACATATCCTGGTTGATCTTTACATTATGGTAACTTGGCGATTTTTTGGCGAAAATTTGGCGACCAACTCTTCTACAGCAACCCTCTATTTTTTTTTCCCGCCGCCATTTTGTCTTCACGAAGTAAAGACATGTTTCTTTTCTTTTTATCTACTGAACACTTCTTTCAACAATCTACTAGCCGAATTACACTTATGCTAGTAATTTTATCTAACAAAACTGCTTCATCATGACAAATATTCACTGCAAAATTGGGAAAAAGTGCACAATACCATACTCCTTACGCGATTTTCACAGGGTTGCCACACTACCTGGAAAACCGGGAAAAGTCAGGGAATTCGAAAATTGACCAAAATATTCAGGAAAAAGTCAGGGAATTTAAGTATTTTTGTCAAAATCTGGAAAAGTCAGGGAAGTTCATACAAGGATCCCGCCAAAAAAAAAAAACGATTTTTGCGCCGACGTCGGAAGAGGTAACTTTTTTGGCGAATTATGTATCACGTGAGTGTCATTCGGGTAGCCGGCATAGAGCCAATTTTCGCAGCTCCAATTTGATTGTCTTTTAGAAAGGCAAAGCAACTTTCCCGCAAACTTTTGGTTTCCAGTATTCTCGAGAATCGCATGTGCAGTGCATGAACTAAAGAATGTACCTGTTCTCGTATAAAACAAAATGGGTTTAATCCTAGTATACGGTACCATGGAGGTTACAATCAAAGAATATGTATTGTAAAGAAGGAAAACCTCTCTGCAACAGACGTGGCTGTGGCTCCGTTCCATCATAGAGGGAAAACAGCTGTGCAAGTCTGATATATCTTGAACCGGTGTCGAAGTTCAAAGGTCACGTTATCAAGAGTTCATTAAAATGAATATCGTTTAAAATTTCTTTAACCACTTGCGCTAAAAAGACGTGCCACGCACGTCAAGATGCTTTTGTCTCAAACCGCGAGCGACGTGAACACCACGTCGATAAGCATTTATCGCAAAAATGAAAATAACGTGGTGCACACGTCGCCTAACAACGAGATTGTTTATTTCTCGAGTTACAGCTCTGGATTGCACTCGCAGATGCGGAGCGGCGTAAATGAGACACTTTACGGCTTGTTATATTGTAGCGCACGGCACCGCAACCGTGAAGTTTAGTCTTAGCGCAAGTGGTTAAACTCTAAAGGAAAAGAAAATATTTTTTGGCGCAAGTAAATTAATTCATGGATTAGTTATTTTCAGGGAAAAAAAAAAAAAAACTACGAAAATCCGTTTTTAAAATTATTGCGAAAAATCCAAGAAGAAACGTCCTTTGATAAAACGTTTCTTCTTGGATTTTTCGCAATAATTTAAAAACGGATTTTCGTAGTTTTCTTTTTGTCAAAGAGCGTTTCTTCTTAACACGTGTTTCTCAATTTCCTGTACACATCGCGGAGAGGGAAATTCTGGCCGCCAGGTTCCGTCGCCAAATCCCTTGGCAAATTTTCCCTCCGCATTCTAGCGGCGTAATAGCATTTTACTTGTATGGAACCTTTTCTTCTTTACATAGACGTTCTTTGGTTAGAATAATAATGGGATTTGGCGACATCTTGATGCGCAGTAAACGGGTCATTTTGGTCTTGGCGACAATTTTCAAAATCGTGCCAAAGCCTTACCGTATACTAGAATTTTACCGCAAAATCTTTTTAAACTTTTTTTTTTTTTTTCTTTTAATAAATACCTTGCCATTTTGCAGTAAAATAAAAAAATAGTAATCAGTCATCTAGGCTAGCCATGTAATATAACTATATTCGCTAAAATATCGTTGATTATTCTAATTCAATTTTTAAGTAATTTTTTTATGTTATTCATATAATTTAATGTTGCTTCTTCCCTCTAAATTTATTTATTATTAGTAAATAATATTTCCAAATTTCAGGAAATTTTCTCTGGCATAATCCTGAAATTAATTATAGCAGTATGATGACATACCATCACGAAATTTAATGCACATATTTTTTCCTTATGTATGCTGCGAAATAAATATAAAATACCTCAATTTATTAAAATAGATTTCTTTCTTTCGTTTAGCTGCAGAGAATGTCTGCAAAAAAAGCCTTATTTTATTCCAGATTGGGAAGATTCTAATCTCAATCTTCAGTGGAGAAAACAACAAACTATTATAATTATATTTGTGTTTTCAAGTGTTAAGGTGCCTTTTAAGAACATACCTCACGCAAATTAAATTTACCTAAAATCTAACCTAACTATTTAGCATTGCGTTGTGATTTATAAGGACCGGATTAGCCTCGTGTTGAACTGGTGATGATCATGAGTAATAATTAAATAAAAACATACATTTGTTATCCAATATATATATCTTAAATTTTATTAAGTTTCTTAAGTGGAAAACTAAACAAAATTATCAAACAAAGTATACCAAGAATAATTAAGAATAAATGTCCTCTGGGATTTATTGAATAATTAAGTGAATTTGCTACACAATACAAGTAATACCATAATTAATTTACCTCTTAGCACAGCCAACGTACATTACGCGGATAGACTGGAATTTTCTTGAAACACACCTGGAAAACCTGGAAAAGTCAGGGAATTTCATTCTCCTGTTTGAGTGGCAACCCTGTTTTATATTACACATCTTAACTTTTTCTTAAAAAAACATCATATTACAAATGGCAGGGCAATATTTTAAAATCGGAAACGTTATATTTATAGAACATTCCAATATAAATAAATAAAAATCAAAACTTTACCTCTAAATCATCTATTATATTATACACGTCACCAACGAATTCATACCGCAAGCATTACAAATACTTAGTGTCAAATATTTAATTATTTCCATGCACGTTTACTTCAACTTAAACGTATACCAAATTCCTACAAACATAAAATTCACAAAATAACTATCATTTAATTAAAATATCACTAAACCATGTACACGTCGACTTTTTTACTTAAAAAAACATCCCAGAATTGCACAAAAATGGCATTGCGCACACTCTTCACTATATCCATGTACACTGCTTTTTTCTCATAAATTAGAAAAATTTCATGAAAATGCATAACAATTTTCTGAATTTTTAAACCCGGTAAAAAGAACATATATGAAATTACCTGATCGCGAAAAAGTACATACCCTTTCCAAATATGAACATTTCCCCGTATAAAATAAATAAAATATCCAAAAACTTTTACCTCTACATTATCTATTATATTACAAACCTCACTAACTAATTCATACTTTTACTTCATTACAAATGATTACAAATACTTAGTGTCAAATATTTAAATTATTTCCATGCACGTTTACGCAAATTACTTTACTTCCACCTTACATTTAGAACAATGCATAAAAATAATATCCTCAAATAATTAAAAATACTAACTTACCTATTCTTCTTCAGAATCTTGATTACGTGTCCGATAAACTTTTCTTATTCTGTTTCACGATCTTTAAAATCATACTTATAGTTCACACCAAGGTACCAGGTAAAATAAATAACTTAATACAACATCTTTACTTCTATCTCGCACACCCTTAAAGAAACACTTATTACTATGCCTTTCAATCCCACTAAATACCCATTTCGAATTCACTTTAGTTAGGGCCATGGGATCCAAAAATTAACAAACACTGTTTCACACAACACAGAATAAAGGCAAATACAAAATTTCCAGATTTTTTTCCCGATTTCCCTCCTTTTTCCGATTAAAGAACCGTAATTCGTCCATTAATATCACATGACATATCACATGATCTCTCATTTCCCTCACACAAAATAATGCGTAATCGGAACTGAGTACTGCTCACATTATTACCAAAGTCCCAAGTAGTAACCTTTATCGCCTCCAAAATGTCGCCAAACTACCAGTTACCATATTGTAAAGATCAGACAATATCCTATGTGATGTTTTTGGAGCAATGACCTTAAAATGCGACAAGTTTAATTGGAAGTAGATTATATTTATTACTTCACCTTCTTTTTTTGTGATTTCAGGTGTATTTTTTGTGCATTTTATGTTATTTTCTTTAAATTCTTGAATTATGTTTAATCAATTTATTATGTTGTTATGTATGCAGTTCAGTATAGATATTATTTTCTTTACATTCTTGAATTATGTTTAGTTAATTAATATGTTGTTATGTATGCAGTTCAGTATAGATATTATTGGAATTTTTTTAATAATAATAATAATAAAAGAGTTTTCACCTGCTCAGAAAGTGAAATCATTTAAAATATGTCAGTGTTAAGTCCCCCAAACACTGGCACATTTTAAATGATTTCTCAAAAATTCCAGGAACTCCCTTTTTTTCTATGCACAGCAAAATTAGAAAAATAATTAGTGAAGGCCCAAGAGACAACCTGTTCAGTTAGTTTATGCAGTTAAGTATGTTCAAGCATATACTGTAGTGTAAAAATATGATACTTGATCAGTAGTATTAACATTATTTTAAAATATTTTATACATGTTTTATCGGAACATTTTATGGTATGTTATCTCAATAATTGTTGTTGCAGAACATTTTACATATGCTGTAAAATCTATTTTGTATTTATATAGGAATTTGATCCTGAAGAATTTTATCGTTTGTTAGAAGCTGCAGAAGGTCATGCAAAAGTTCAGCAAGGTGTAACAACTGATATTCCGAAATATATCATTAGTAAATTGGGCCTAAACAGAGATCCACTGGCTGGTAGGTTTATTTATTTATTTTATTTTATTTTACCCTGGGTTAGTGGGTCTTTATTTGTTTAAGAGAAAGTCTGACAGTCCATCCCCCAAAAAAAAATTTAATGATTTTTTGCCAAAGCATGCCATTTTGATCTCTTCCTTAAACTGAAATAAAAAAAAAAAAAAATCTTGTTAGGGTTTTATGTATGTTTTCTTTGCCTAAGGAGACTCGATCTGCAGAGAGATACCAAAAATTCAACCAATGAACTTTATAAAATTTAGAGCATTATTTATTTTAAACCTTTCCATTAGTGAAATAATTAAGGAATAATAAATATTAAACTATGATATTTTCTTTTGTAGTTTTACACTTTTGTTTACACTTTTGTAGTTAAATGCTCAAATTTCAAATAATAAAAAAAATCAGGCCTCAGTTTTTCATTTATTTGTGCTGTGATGTGCCTTCCAAACACTGCTTTCTTCTGCTTACTTTTAGTCTTACGTTTTGAAGGAATTTAAAAATTATATTCAGCTACTTTTGAATTCATTGGCCACATAATTGAAAATGTTGGAAAAAATTAAAAGTGTTAGTTTAAAGCATGAAAATGCAGTGCTAAAATGAATTCAAATTGAATTATATTCATTCAGTATTGTTAAATCTAAATGAATAATGAAAGTAAAAAAATTGTAAAACTTAAAAAATATAAACTTAATCACAGTAGGTGAGAAAAGTGTAGATTGCGTTGAACTCTATGTGGCTCATAATTAATGTTATAATTTAAATAATAAATTACTTTTTTTTTTCTTTTTACTTCCTTGTACGAAGTAAAAAGAAGTATTGTAATCGTGAAAAATTTTGGGTATCATATTTCAAAGGAAATATCCATTTTGTTGGCTATCGAATGCAATTTAACGATATTTTTGCGTGACATCTGAACGTAAGGACAGAATAAAGGATTCTTCCCCCCCAAAAAAATAATAAAACTGATTCAAAATGAATTCTGAAGAGAATTTTTCATGGCATCTGTGCATACGTAAGTACATATCTCGCATAACTCAAAAACGAGTAGCCTCAGAACATTGAAATTTTGTATGTAGGCCTGCTATAACATGTAGATGTGCACCTCATATTTTGGTTGCAATCAGCCACATCAAAAGTATATAAAATATATAATATCCATTTTGTTACTCAGCTCTGAGCTCAGTTTTTTTTATTCTTATGTGTTTGTAAATTGTGCATTTTTTGCTTTAAAAATGATTGAATTATGTTGTTCTGGTTAAGATTTTTTTTGCCTTTAGTTAACCTGCGAGCAATAATTGTGGAATTATCAACAATAGAAAAGTTTTTTAAGTGAGGCTAAGCCTACTTTTTGATTACCATAGCGGCCATGTTTGTTTACATTTGAAACTTAGCAGAATAGTACATTTGTTGGCAATTTAGAAAAACTAAGCTTCACTACAAAGATAATGCGCTCATTTATTATTGCGAATTTGATTATGCTTAATCCATTCTGGAATTTATTTGAGGAAATAAGTGTTTAAGATTTACTTCATAATTTTTAATATAGATATTTTGAATTTTTATGTATTTTTGCATTGTCGCGAAGTGAGAACTAAATTAATTGAATGAGAAATACTTAATTGTCTGTGAAAAACTGTTGTTTTTTTGTTTTGTTTGTTTAATTTCTTTTACACAGCATTTTAGATTAATTATAGTATTTGAATGGAGCATGTGGCAACGATTAGATAGTTCTTCAGATGATATAAATTTTATGCATTCCGAGTTATAAAATGAATGACATATAATGCTGTGAAATGAATCTAGCATCAGAGTGTCACTATGATAAACAAATACAGTGAATTTTAAAGAGTACATTTATTCTATTTTGGTTTATGCGCTATCGATGAAGTAGATTTAATTCAATCCAGTAAGTTTAAAAGAAATGCAAGAAAAATGCGTATAATTTAATATTCCATACAAAGAAGTCATGTGGTGTACACATCAGATTGCCCCCCCCCTGTTGTTAACGTTAAATACAATTTATGAAAGTATGTTGTGCATTTATGTTTTTAAAAGTGACATCTGACAAATGGTGGCCATTGTCAACATGAATTGGACCTTCTCTAGGCTGGGAGTTGTACATGACTGTTGTTAGAATTCCAGGCCCTAACTTTTGAATTGATCATTTAATATTTGTCTTAAGCTGCTGTATGGTTCATGGCTTATTTGCTTAGATCTTTCCTTTTAAATAGCCTTATTTATTAAAATTAAAAAATCTGGAAATTTTATGAATCTTTTATGTGACCAAACTGTATATATACAGTGGTGGACACTTTTGGAAATTTTTATGTTTTTGAATTTTGTATGCTTATAGAAAATGTTACGTTTCACAAAATGCAAACTTGTATATATCATTTTAAAGAGAATTTATTACTGAATTCAATACAAAACACAAAATTCAATTATTTGCAATACAAAAAAAGTTATATGTACTTTAATATGAATAAAAAATCTGATGTATACACCACATGACTTCCTTGTATGGAATATTAAATTATATGCATTTTTCTTGCATTTCATTTAAACTTATTAGATTGAATTAAACCTACTTCGCCGACAGCGCATAAACCACAATAGAATAAATGCATTCTTTAAAATTCACTTTGTTTACCATAGCGACACTCTGGCGCTAGGTTTACTTAACAGTATTATATTTCGTTCATATTATAACTCAGAATGCACAAAATTTATATCATTTAAAGAATAGAATTACCTAATTGTTGCCACATGTTCTGTTCAAATACTATAACAAAGCTAGAATGATGTGTAAAAGAAATTAAGCAAACGAAAAAAAAAAGAAACAGTTTTTCACAGACGATTGAGTATTTCTCATTCAATTAATTCAGTTTTCACTTCGCGACAAGGCAAAAATACATAAAAACTCAAAATATTCTGCTGTTTCACATGTAAACAAATATGTCCGCCATGTTATTTAAAACTTAACTGCACTTAAACAGCTTTTAAATTGTTGATAATTGTACAAATATTGCTTCCAGAATTACGAAAGGCATAAAAACTTTAACCGGAAGATAAAAACAACATAATTCAATCATTTTTAAAGCAAAAAATGTACAATTAACAAACATATAAGAGTAAAGAAACTGAGATCACTGAGCCGGGTAACAGGGTGGATATATTTATAAATATATTTATATACGTTTGGAGCGGCCGATTGAAACTAAAATATGAGGTGCACATCTACATGTTATAGGTAGTCCTATATACAAAATTTCAATTTTCTGAGGGCTACTCGTTTTTGAGTTACGCGAGATACGTACGTACATACGCATGCACGTACGTACATACGTTCGTACAGACGCCACAGGGAAAAATTCTCTTCAGAATTTCATTTTAAAGTCAGTTTTATAATTTTTTAGGGAAGGAAAAGAGTCTTTTATTCTGTCCTTACGTATAGATATCACGCAAAAACATCGTTAAATTGCATTTGAAAGCGGTCAAAGTGGATATTTTCATTGAAATATCCTGCCTGAAGCTTTTCGCGTTTTCAATACTTCCTTTTTACTTCGTACAAGGAAGTAAAAACACAGTTATGAAGTGGTTTGTAATGTCTAGCTTTCCTGGCCAATCACTGTTCTTGTTCTGAGAACCAATCAAATGTTAGTAACTGCCAGTAGAAGCTGACATCATGTTTACACTTGAAACAATTCATTATTTCGCTTTGTTCTGTAGAAGGAGGACCTGTTTCTTATACACTGCAATTACAAGTAGGAATTTTTGTAAAAATTTTTAATATTTAGTCAAGAAGCAACGACATCAAATAAAAGAGTAGATTGGACACCTAGAAAGAGATGTAGTATTATTGTGTTACGAGAAAGTGGTCTTTCCTATGTTGAAATCGCAAGACAGGTGGGTGGTTCAGTGACTACATCTGGAGTCCGAAAGTTTTGTTTACAATATCAGAAGACAAATTCAATAAAAAACAAAGAAGGAAAAGGCCGAAAAAGGTGCACCACATCTATTGATGACAGAAGACTAAAAGACTTCAAGACAGAAAAATGTCATCAGCAGCCATCAGAAGTGATCTGAATAATGCTGGTGTTTCTGTCAGTTCAAGAACAATCAGGAGAAGATTAACAGATGTTGGACTGAGAGGTAGAATTCCACGAAAAAAGCCTTATCTTAATTTTCAGCAACAACAACAACAACAACAAAAAAAAAAAAGACTGCAGTGGGCAAAGGAACACATTAATTGGACAGATGATCAGTGGTCACAAGTTATATGGAGTGATGAAACAAAGATATCGTTATTCGGTAGTGATGGGCGAAAATATGTAAGACGTAGAATAGGAGAAGAGCTACATCCTGACTACATTCAAGCAACTGTGAAGAACCCAGTTAGTGTTATGATTTGGTCATGCATGTCAGCAGATAGTATTGGTCGCCTTCATGTCATCGATGTTTCATTGAGCTGACAAGAGTTTTAAGCTCTTCTTTCGTTATAACATGATGGCAGGAAACAATCGATGGGACACCAGAAAATACATTTACACTATTCTAGAAACAAAACTTCTACCTTCCATCACAGATTTCTTTCCCAACAATGCTTCGTTTATTTTTCAGCAGGATTCTGCTTCTTGCCACATGGCCAAAATATCAAAGGAGTGGTTTCGTACAAAGAGCATTAAATTGTTGTCATGGCCTTGAAACAGTCCTGACCTCAATCCTATCGAAAATTTGTGGCACCGTTTGAAAACTCTTGTCCGAATGAGGCGCCCATCAAATAAAAGGGAACTAATTGAGGCTATAAATGTTTCCTATCATCATGTTATAACGAAAGAAGAGCTTAAACTCTTGTCAGCTCAATGAAACGTCGATGTGAAGCTGTAATCAAAAAGAAAGGGTACCCTATTTAAGTACTGATAACTCACTGCAATCATCACTATCTAATGTATATCGATAACTATTATCGTTTAACTTTTTTTGTATTGCAAATAATTGAATTTTGTGTTTTGTATTGAATTCAGTAATAAATTCTCTTTAAAATGATATATAAAAGTTTGCATTTTGTCAAATGTAACGTTTTCTATAAGCATACAAAGTTCAAAAACATAAAAATTTCCAAAAGTGTCCACAATTTTGGCCACCACTGTATATATATGTTCAAAAATACTTTTCACGGTTTCTTCAAGTACTAAACAATACAAGGCAGTAGAAGTAGTATAGATACTGAAAAAGTATGAGTCAAGGTGCAAATTGGGAGGGTCATTTTGGAATTATAATTAAGAAATCAACATTTATTTATAGCTTTATGGACAAACCCTTATCTTCTTGGATGGTTAAGAAAGCCATTGTATGTCACGGAGAATGTTGAACTAATTGGTGAATTGTTGAAGCGTTGGATGCATTTCAAGCATTTAACAAGTAGCAGTATGTTGTTTATGTCCTAATAATCATTTTCACAGCAAAATTGAACAGATTTCATTCTTTGTTTAATGATGAATTTTTTCCACCTTAAAAATTTCAAGTGTTGACTGTACAGTACTAAAAGAATAGAGTATGTCTTTTATATATTCTCATGTCAGTGTTAACAATCAAATCATTGTCATTTTAGTTCTAAATTATATGAGTCATATCATTTAATTTGTATAATATTTACTTTAAAAGCTTATATTTCACAAAGTTTTATACGCCATTCTATTTCGTGCATTTTAATTTAGAAAGTTTTTACACCAGACTGAGAAGCCAACCAAACTAATTTTCAGATTTGATATAACATCTTTTGTTTGATAATTTAATTCAAAGATTATCATTTTATGTCACAGTCAGTGTGTATGACTTGATATGAGTTATACGCTTGAAATTAATTATTACATTAGTATTTCAGTATTAATTATGAATGCATTTACAACTGTTCATTAGATTTATCAGCAAGGAAAAAATGTAGAAAGGTACTTTAAGATTGTGTTGAAGATAATAGTAATGAAAAATGCTATAATTATATATGTAAAAACTAAATGAAGTGCTGAAAAGGATCTAAAATCTTTAACTGTGAGAAGGCAAAAAATTTTATTTAGTTGAAAGTATAGTTAACCTTTTCATCTTAGCTGAGTGTACTATAGTTCAAATTATAAGATATTTCTTCCACGTTCTTGACATGCCTTCATGATGCGGTCTGCGGTTCAATTCTCGGCGACGTTGCATATTTTTCATCTCTCTTGCTTCCAAAATAACCTAATAGCTCTATACTGGCACCTGAACTAAAAGGGTGGTGGATAATGATTCTCTCCACCCAGGATTTGGCGATTGGGTCCCCTAAAACACCAGTCACCTTTTGAAAGGGGGGCATATAAGGTATTTCTCCTGCCTTCTTAGCGTGCCTTCCTGGTGTAATGGTCTGCACATTGGGCGCGTATTCCAGAGGTCCGCGGTTCGATTCCTGGCAAAAGCGTTGCTAATTTTTCATCTTTCCTGCTTCCAAAAAAAAAATACCTAATGTCTCTACAAAATGACAAATAGCAAATTGAAAAGGTATTGCATATTCAACCATGACTAATGCAATACCTTTCCAGCTGTATTTTTGTATAAAAATTATAACTAATTATATAATAAATGCGAAAAGATGCCAATGCTTCGGACAGCATTTTAGTTAAACTTCTTAGAATATTCATTCTGCATTGTGAAGGAATTTTCTGCATACCTATAAATTCCAATAGCAGTATACTACTTATATATTAGTTGGTCTTCGAAATAAAAGAAATAAATCTATTGAGTAACAACTACTCAGTTATTTATTGAATGTGCAGAATCATTTAGCATTATTTTTATTCATTTTTTATGTTATTGGCAAGTATGAACTTTATTTTAAATTTAGAAGTGTCTTTTGTTAATCTTCTTAACTATAAAGCCAAACATTTCCTTTTCATTTCGAAATCTAATTAGTTCAGGCATTTAATGCAAATTTTTTCTGTTGTAGAACTCAGTCGTGATTTATCAAGTGATTTCGATGGGCAGGAGCAAACAGATTATTCAGCGGTTAGTATTCTTCATTTTTGTATAACAAATCATATCTTGTATGTAGTAATGTTGAATAAAATATAATTTTAAGCTTATATATTTTTAATCTCTCTGATAGCAAACAGGGCGAGATCTTTTCCCCCAATCATCTAAACCTCCAAATGAAAGTGATTTTGAGACTGTAAAATTAATCAGCAATGGAGCTTATGGGTACAAGAAATTATTTTTCTGTAAACTTTAAATTTTAATGTGCAAAATCTATTGCATAAAAAAAGCTTGTGCTGTGAAGTAAAAACATAGTTAACAAATTTTAAACTTATATGATATTTTATCTAGTTAAATATTTATTATTTGTGAATTGATATGTGAGAATATTTTTTTATCATAAAATCATCAACAGTCAGTTTTTCTCATTTGTTTGATTTTTTTATCAAATTTAATGTGCCATATTTTTATATCTCTTTTTTCAATTTTATATACTAAAGTCTAGTTTGTTCTAGTTTGACTTTTGATAATAAGCATGTAATAATAATAATATCTTCAAGTCAATAATCATTCAGTAATTAATCAACATATTTATTAGCTGTGCATCATTTGTACTATGTAACCACAATAATTAATTAGCATTTCCTAAAACTAAGAAGCACTAAAAATTGCTTCTTAGTTTGTAATTGTAAAATAAAGTTTACAACTTGGCCTGTTAGATTTTTCTTATAATGTAACATTTTGCTTGAACTGAAATTTCCAGGTACTGAATGATATTTTAATAGATATTTTCCTAACCATAACCTTTGTTTCTGTAATCTAACATTAAAAGCATATAATAAAAATAAACTGCTGGCCGTTAAAATTGTAAAATTTGAATCGTATATATTTTACAAATATCTTATAATACAAGGGTGAAGTTATTAAAATTTAAATGAATTTAAATATTGTTGCATTTTTAATGGCTAGGAATGTGTGTATAAGAAACTATTAATGGTATTTGTCCTAATTAATTTTGCACTTTATGAAAAATAATAAAGGTTTTGCAAAATTTACTTTTGCTATAAGGAAAAAACTATTTAATTTTTAATTTTGTTATTGCTTGAAAAATTATATTTGTGGTTTAACATTTTATTTGTAATTTTGTTGTTCCACTTACCATTTGTTATTTATTTGCTTTTCTAAGTATATTTTGTAAAGTACTTAACTATTATACTATTTATTAATAGGAAAAAAAATGAAAAATATTATAATCTTTCTGGAACAGCCAGTGGTGTAGCCAGAGCTTTTGTGACCATTTACTGCCCCCTCAATGCTTTAAAAAAAAATCTATAAAGTTTCAAAACTATATGCAGAGAAACAAATAAAAGCTCTGTGTGTATTTTAGAAATAAAACTCGAATTTGAACATTCTGAAGAGCTATATTCTTGTTTTTCTGTTAGTTGAATCATTGATGATATTCTAAAAGTTTGTTTCATTATTTGTTCAGTAATATTATAGTACTGTAAGACGCCGCTTAACGCTGTTTTGTTTAGCGCTGTTTCGGTTCGCGCCTTTTTCATTTCGAACCCGGGGATTCTCAGAAATTAAGCCAGCGCTAGGTTTCCAAATAACATATCCGAAACAGTGTAGTTGTGTTTTTTGGTGCGGTGGACGCATTTTTATCATTTGAAACATTTGTTGACATTATTGTAAGTATAAACTTATATAATACTATAACGATTAGTACAGTGACAAATATTGTGATCTTTAGTTTTTATCATGGGTGATAATAAAAAACAAGAAAAGAAAGCAACCAAAAAAAGCATTTCACTGGAAACTCAAATGCAAGTGATTAGAAGATTAGATTCTGGTGAACGTCAATCTCAAATTAGTGCTGCATTGATTTTGGCAACTTCAACAATAAGGACAATTCTTAAGAATAAAAAAAAAAATACTGTCATCGGCAACTGCAACTACGTCAAGCTCTGCAACTAGAATTACCCGTTCTAGAAATAACATTATAGAGGAAATGAAAAAACAACTGTCTATATGGATTGGCGACGAAATTGAACGCAATATGCCATTCAGCCAATCTATCATTAATGCCTTTCTGACAAAAAGGCAGAAAATTGGAAACACAGAATAGACTGAATGATCTGACTGAGAATTTTATTTGTTTTTATAAGTGTATTCGTTTATATTGTTTTTATTTTTGTAAGAAATAAATGTTTGGTTTGATTTTTATTTAAAAAACATTATTAAATTTAATACCTAACCAATTTTCTGTCCATCTTTTCCTAACCCTATTATTTACATGTTAAGATAGCCTCATTTAGCGCTGTTTCGCATTATGCTCTATTTTGATGGAACGTATCCCCCGCGTTAAGTGGGGTCTTACTGTATTTAGAACTGTAATTTAAAGAATTATTAGAATATATGGCAGAAATTCAAAACAAACATCTTTGCTTCATCTTTCCAAGCAGTAGTAAAATAAAACTGTGCAGTATTTCACTTCCAATGAGGGTCTTCTTTATTTATGTCCCCATAATCATGGTTTAATTGACATTTGTGTTTTTCATTCAAATGTTTTGATAGAATAAGGAAAGCATAACATGAACATGGAAAGAACATGGAACTACTGAAATCTCTTTAAATTATTTTTACTACTCTGTCCAATGAAAAAACAAATCTCTCTTCACTTCAGTTTTGTATCACAGTTCAGCATCTCGGGATTGTTTACCTCACCAGTGAATGTAAGTTAAGACATTCGTTTGGCCTAGGGTTAGAACCCAAAGAAATGTGTATTTTCATGCTTTTTCCTTATCCATAGTGTAAGGTATATAACGTTTTATTCATTGCACGTGATGTAACTATGAGTCAGTGCTGCTTTTGTTACTTGAAAATTAGCCAATTCCCGGTTTTGAAGACCTTCTTGGAGAACTTCTCTCTATGAAAAGAGAGAAATCTTTGTGGTTTTGCTTTCATCCAATAAATCCCAATCCCTCTTTGCTGGGAAGATTCATATGACTAGCCCTAATGTATAATATGCTTCACCTAAAGAATGATTTTACAGAAATGTGCCACAGGGGAAGGGGGAACTGCTCTTTCTAGCTACACCACTAGGAACAGCTAATAGAATTTTTTTTATTACTCCTTTATTTACTGCAATTTTTATTTTATTTACTGCAATTTTTATTATACTGTTTAGTTCATAACAGTTTGATATATTGTTATAAGATGGAATGTTGAAAGTTATATAAAACATATTATTAAAAAAAACATGTATTGTGTTCTTTCAGTGCTGTGTACTTAGTTCGACATATTAAATCAAGGCTAAGGTTTGCTATGAAAAAAATTAGCAAACACAATCTGGTCTTAAGAAATCAAGTGGAACAGGTGTATGCAGAGAGAGATATTATGAGTTTCACAGACAATCCGTTTGTCGTTAGCATGTTTTGCAGCTTTGAAACAAAGGTGAATTTAAATTTCATATATTTTTCACTGTACAAGAGGCACTTATTGATAATTAAAAATAAAAGTTTTTGGTTAAGGAATTGTCCATTTTTTGTCTTTGAGCATTATTTTGTAGCAGTAATCGTTTTGCTGTTATTCTAATCACCATAATTTGTTAGAAACATCTTTGTATGGTCATGGAGTATGTTGAAGGAGGTGACTGTGCAACACTTTTAAAACACATGGGACCATTACCAGTAGATTTGGCTCGCTTTTACTTTGCCGAGACTGTTCTAGCAGTTGAATATTTGCATAGTTATGGAATAGTTCACAGGGATTTAAAACCTGACAAGTATGTATAAATGCTACATTTTATGTTGCTTTAGTGCATTAGACTGTATTGTTAATATTGTTAAAACCTGTGAAATATTTAAAGGTACAGTCAAAAGTCGTTAATCCGGACTCGTCGGGACTTCGGCGATTCCGGATTATAGATCATCGGATCACAGTAAAGCTCGTAAGATGGCATGCAGAAATTCTAAAATTAAAAATATGAAACCATAATTTATGAAATAAAAGAACAATTATGATCTAAAGGGTATCAAATTTGCAAAAAGAAAAAGCTTAATATTTATTTGTTTACTTTATTAAACATTTCTTTCAATGTAAGTTGTTTAAGTTTTGCTTCGTTTCATGTGATAATACTTTCTCTTAATTCTATTAAACAGACATAATTTTTTGTCAGTTACAAGTTCCGCTGTTCAAGTCCTATAATTGCTTGTTCGAGAACACCGACTAATTTGTCAATCGAAATTTTTCGTTTTCAATAACCTCTGTACTTTCTTCGCTATCGAAGCGAATTATAATGACGAGGAACTTGTTTTAAATCATATCAAAGACGGAGCACATCGAGATGAAATACTACATTGGTAAGGAATATAAGCCAAATAAAATAAAAACATCTGCACTGAAGATAAGGATAGTGCTGACAGATCAACTTCCAATTCATTACGCGCCGCCTCCCCCCCCCGAGCAGCGTGAAATTGATAAACAGATTTCGGATTTCAAAACATTAACTTTCGCTTTGATCCTTTACATATTAACAAATATATATCGGAAATTCTATTTGATATCGAAATTAAAGCTTACTTTTATAAAATTGCTCTTACAGTCTGCAAAAAATAATAAGCCGGATCCAATTCGAAAATTAAGGAACACGCAATCATCAACATTAACTGAAATAGATAATTAGATATTTTAGCTTATACGCCATATACATAAAACGCGCAGGCGAAAACGTATTCTGCCACTTGCGCAGTCGTAAAAAGGTCTTACGGCACGCGTAAACGCCTATGCCCATGTGTCAATGCGGCGCATGCGCAGACAGTTTTTAGTTTTGAGGTCCAGATTATAGATCATTCCGAATTAACGACTTTTGACTGTATTTAGAATATCGTATCTAATCTCTTTTATACATATTGAACAAATTTTTGTCAATTTTCATTTCTGTTCCATTGCATTATAAAATTTTAGTAAGAACTTTTAAAAATTTAAAACATTATTGCAAATCTGGTACTTGTAGATCTCTGACCACAAGAACTCCCCCCTCCCTTAAACTGCTGACACAAAAATTTGGGGGGCATAGTTCTGTGATTGTAACAAGAATAGCATCAAAATAGTTTGTTTAACTCATATTTATTAACATAAATTCAATTTTGAGTTCTTTTAAAATGGAGCGACGCACATTGCGAAAACCTCCCATAAGTCCTTTTTTTTTTTTTTTCATATTTCAAAGTTGGCAAAGGTAATATACAAATATGAAAAAGAGTGTCTTTTTTTTTAAAGAAAGTTTGAGAAGGCCCAGAATAACAAATATTACAGAAGGAATGCACAGAAACAGAAAGCTCTTTCTCAGCTGGCCTCCACGGTCACCGGATTTGACACCCTGGGTATGAGTCCTGAATAAATAAACTCTTTCATATATGTAACACTTTATTTAGGGCCAGCAGTAAATACCGCCTGGTGCAATCTCTACGGGTCCTAAATTCTGCTACAAAGCACTTTCCTAAGTTCTAAATCTTCACTGCACCTAAACTCTGCATCCCAGTGCTTTCCCTAAATCATAAAAAACTTCTCATTCCTTAATTTTGCCACTCGATGCTTCCTCAAATTCCAAAAATTTTGTCCCGACATTCTAAATTCTGCTGTCCGGTCCCGACATATTCTGCTGCCCCTTTTGTGTTTATGGTGAATAACATATCAGTTATTCTTAATTAAAATAGCACTAAATGTAATCTTTTGGCCTATGAGTTTCATTAACAAAACCATTTTTTAGCATATGAAAAGAAATTTGGTTGACTTTTTTCCCGTCACATTTCTTAGAGCTTTAAAATCTATAAGAATCGCCAAGCGAATGTTTATATAAAATATTGCCATGCCCTTGTTATTCAATTTCTAATATATAAAAAAAGTTTAGACATCACTGCATGAGTTATTACTGAAGCTATCATGTATTGATAAACATGCAGTGATGAAAGCAAAATATAATAAACAATGGTTCACCAGACCGGCGTCAGGGATATAAAATAGGTGGATGTTTCAGTTTGAGATGTATGCTAAGCAGATACTCAGATATGAAGCCAAATTGTTATCACAAATTTATGCTTACATGATTCTTTTTCCATAACGGACGGAAGTATTTTTTTAGTGCTAAGTGAATTAGAATGGATTTTAAGTGAAAATCTCCACATGTTTTATTATGGAAGGAAAAATCAAATGCGCATGCGTAAAGCATTCTAAAAAAAAGTTTATGGCTTTGAGGTGCGGATTTTAGATCATTCTGGATAATGAAGTCCGAATTTCGGATTTTGTACTGTATAGCATTGTTCTAACATAGGTAAGATAAACTAACACGCGGAACAAATGTTAATTTAGAATTCAAACAACAAAAATCAGCATCATATTTGCATATTTTCACAGTGAAAAGTTGCAAATATAATGCTGATTTTTGTTGTTTGATTTCTAAACTAACATAGGTAATGTGACGTAAAATTATAATGAAATGTAATTCCTGAAATGCACCTTCCTTTTCCTTAAATAACACCAAATTTTTTCCATTTTTTGATTCTACAACTACCTAGATATTAATTTTTTAAATTTTTGGTGAGAAATTAAAAAATTTATCTTGGTTCATTTTTTTTCAGTTTGCGCCAACAATAATTCACTTGGCAAACTTCTTAATTTACCGCAACCTATTTTCTTTTCCTTTTTTTCATTGTACATGAGCGAAAAAAAGATCATCTTTCATACTTTCAAATAATTTTAACAAAGTATATTAACCGCATTTGGCATTATTATCTCTTATAACAAATATGGCAAATTTCAAAATGTGCCAAAATATAAGTTCACATATATCTTAGGAAATTTTGAATATATCTTAGGAATTTTTTGCATGCATGCTTCGAAATACATTTAATTAAGGTGATGGTAAAAATTTTATAGGTTATAATTCAAAATTTTTTTAAAATACAAAATTAAAAAAATAAATCGTAAAAAATTGGCAAATTTTATTTGGAGTGTACCTTAATTTGGAAATATGAAATGAAGAAGCAAATAAGTTTAATAAAAAAAAGAAATATCAATAAATATATACCAAATTCAATTGACATGTAGGAGCTAAAATTTTGAGAGTTAATTTTTTAGAAACTACTCATGCGATTTATACAAAGCTTGGCACTTGGGCATAATCTGAGTCATAGAATCGAAATATGGGAAAAATTGGTATGTTGTTTCAGAAAAAGTCATCTTTGTGTCAAAATCCGTATGTTAGAACAAGGGTATATATAAATCTAATATATATCCTAAGTTGGCTTTCGAGACATGGAAAACACTAGTTACATTTCGACAATGGGTTCAGTAGAACAGGAGATATAGAACTTTTTTGTGTGTGCATAAGGTGTACTAACCACTTACATCACAAGATCATGCATGGAAATATGGCAGTTCCTGTTATTCTTTCCACTTAAAGGGCATTGAAGTATGAGACCCAGTTAACCAAATTTATTGTTTATCTCATTTTAGTTTGGGTACCATTTAGAAATTAATAGAATTTTCAGAGCATGAAACATAAAAATCAATTGAGATTCAGACCATGATACTTCCATTTTCCAACTGGATATGCTAACCACTTACCCCAAAATCATGCATGGGAAATGCAGTAATTCTTAAAAAGTATGAATATGTGTGTCACATCATTCATTTTGAGGAAAGGGAAATGGGTCAGTGAAGGTCACAGCACAGGTATTCTTACAGCAAAAACGTTCAACAGAATCTAGTGATTAGAATGAAATGCATGTGTCAAAGACAGATTTTTATTGGATTTCTTATAGTTGTTTCCGTTTATGTGGATTGTAGAAATTTGCATAATTGATCAACTTTTGAAATGAGCAAAATGTTTAACTTGTAGATTTTATTTTTTGGCGCTTTTCTGCTAAGTGGCCATCGTGCTTAATGCCAGAATTGACAAACTCAACTAACATGAAAATTGAAATGTTGCCAAAGGCTTATGCGGTGGGTTCTTAAACGAGGAAAAATCTATATTTTTTGCTTGCCACATGAAGTATAATGTATCATTTTTATAATATAAAATAAAGAGGTTTAAGTTAATTGAGAAGTAAGTTTGTATTTGTATATGCAGCTTAATAAGGAAAAATGTTGGTATTTAATATGTACATTTGTTTTCTTCTTAAATAAATTCATATTAATTCTCATTATTGAAGAAGCATCCTTCTAAATTAAACGATGTTATAAAATTAAGCTTTCATGAAATTTTTTAATTTTTAAGCTTATTGAATATTATGTTTGTTTTGGAAATATCCCCAGAATTTCATTCTTATTATTCTTTTACAGTTTATTGATTACCTCAATGGGTCATATCAAGCTGACTGATTTTGGTTTGTCAAAAGTTGGATTAATGAATTGTAAGTAATTCTTCATAAGTATCTACAGAAAATATAATTCAATTATGGACATTTTATTTTTAATTCTTAGAATATAATTTCTTCAGATGTATACTTTTTAATGGATGATTATTGAATTTTTATGATGATCTATTTAAACTACTGAAATAAGTTAACTACAACATTCCGTTGTTTATGCATTTTGTCGAAAAGTCATGAAATATAAGCTGACAGGAAAAATAAAAAGAGCAACTTTAAAAGGGAATTTTAAGTTCATTCTGTTGAGTTCAATGAAATTGTGGTTGGGAGCTCAAAATCAGTGGTATCATACAATTGAACAGTGTTCATCTTCACTATACAGAAATGTGCAAGTTTTTACCCCCATTCTTTTGGTACTTGTTAAAAACAGTTTGGAGAATGGAAGCAGGACAGACACTGATACAGGTCTATAAAGACCTAAAAGTATTGAAACAATCATATGAAATACCTGGGAATGATTTAAAGATACTAGTGATGTATGCAGGCAATCAGACCTAATTCAAAAATATGCTGTAGTATTCTCTAAGGATTGTTATTTGGCAATAATTGTTAAAAGAAAGAGACAACTGACTGCCATCAGCTGAAATTGCAAAGGAATTCACTACAACAAGAATTTTCCTATATGGGTTTACCATGAGTGATATGCTATATAAAAAAGGGCCATGGCTAAAACTATGATTTGTTTTCAAATGACATGGGCTGTGAAATATGCTCTGTTGCAGTGGCTGGTAGAATCATGGTATGGGTGAATATTTTGAATGGCAGTGCTGGTCTACACGTTTTCACCAGTGTAACTTTGAGTGCTGAAATGTTCAGAAATGAAGTTCTTGATCTGTATGTTAAATTGCTTAGGAGTTCAGTCAGTTATAATGTGCTCCTAATAGACAATAATGCTTGCCTTCATCATGCTGCATTGGTGACCAGTTATCTTTTTTTGGGGAGTGGAAAACATTCCAGTGGAGGAAGTTACCCACATGGATTCGAGTCCAATAGAACTTATGTGGACTGCACTAGTGTGCCAACTAGCATCACTGCAGCTCCCACCTAGCATCCTCCAGAAACATCAAAGCGCTATTCATCATGACACATTGTGGCTGCAGAAATCTTGGACAATCTGAACACAGCATGGAAAATTTCAGTAAAGCTTTCATTTTGTTTAGGGGGACCATATAGCTTATTAATTTTTTCTGTGTATCTCTAAAACTTGTAACACCGATTTTTCTGTATCCTACTTTATGTCACATTCCCTATATTCTTATTTAAACTTATTTTTTGAAAAAATAGAAATTCTTTGTTTGAATTCTAAATGGTGATTGGATAAAAGCTCATATTAAAATAATATCTCTGCAGGGATAGAAATGCTGCATTAATGCAGATGTGGAGAGGGGTATTTTTATATTTAGATCAGAATTTAAAGTTCTATTTGTGCACGGCTATTTGATAGCATTAACCGAATGGTAACATAAAATGATGAGAAAAAATAACTATGATTTAAAATAAAATTCTGCAGATTTCCTCCTCCATCCTAAAGAAGGACTTGTGTGTGACCTCCCTCAAAATTCATGAGAGTTATTTGAAATCCACGCTCAAACTAAGCTTAGTTTTAAATACTTATTTAAAGTTATTATTCTTATTTTAAATTTAAATGCTTTTTTTTTTTTTTTTTGCTTAATTTTAAATGGTTGACTAAAATCGAAACCAAGCTGTTTGATGACTTAATTCCTTACTTTCCAACATTTCTCTGTCACTTAAGAGTTTTCATAATCTGTTTTGACTTTAGTTTAAAAATTTATATTCTGTAATATTTTGAGCGTATTGACCAAAATCGTTCTTTTAAAACTGTAATTCTGAAATAAGGAGTTACCTCAATCTTGTTTTATACATCATCAATACATTATTAAGTAAGTTTGTTGGAGTACATTTTTGCTTTAGCTATAATCTACCAAGATTTCCTTAATAATGTGTGATGTAGTTTTAAATCTATGTGTGATTCTTGATATAGTGTTTATAAGTCTGTGCTACTTACATTATCTGCACTAACTCTTATTTAGGCAACAAATCAAGCTTAATGTGCTGAAATCTGAGTGATTAACTGTTTGAAAATTTATTTCTTTTGTTTGCTATTATTGATAAATTCAATAATAAAATTTGTTATTTCTTTTATGATGAAACAGAAAGTGAAACTAATTTCTCGTTTTATTTCAGATATTTTAAACATATTTTGTAGGAATGGAATTTTCATTTCAACTTGTTAAAATAAGGAATTTTTTTAAAACATTTTTTTGCAATCTTGTTGACAGCTTTTTTCTTTCCCATTTCTGAATAGTGGCTACAAATCTTTATGAGGGCTATATTGACAGAGAAACAAAACAGTTCACTGATAAACAAGTTTTCGGTACTCCTGAATACATAGCACCAGAAGTAATTTTACGCCAAGGATATGGTGAGAATTAATGTTTGAAATATTCATTTTCTTATAACAATGTTAAAAAGTTTTATAAATAAGGTTTCTCAAAAACTGCTTTCTTTTTTATGCTGTAAAAATTCTATTAAATTTTTAATGCTTAAAAGTAGTATAATTATGTAATAAGCCACTGAAAGAAACATGGTGGAAGGAAATGAATGCAAAAAATAAGGCAGGAAACTATTACATGTTATAAATAAATAGCATTTATTATCTTAGCATGGTCATCTAAAAACTAATTTTTAAGGAAGGCTGAATCTAGGCTGAATTTTTCCTAAGTTGAAAATAGAACATTTTGAGACCTAAAATGTTTTTGTAATCCCTATTTGCCCATAAAAATGCATTTAATTTTTGTAATGTTTTGTAAATGTTGAATAAACTCTTTACATTCTCTTGTACATTTTTTTCTTCATTTTCCTTCATGTTATTTTTAGAACTAGATCTAAAATCATAAAACTTAACAAGCATTAATTCAGAAGTCAAACATCAAAAATCAGCGTTATGTGTTCAAAAATTTCACAGGACTAGTTTTTGAAAATATAACGCTGATTTTTGTTGTTTGACTTCTGAATTAGTATTTATTTGGCTTGTTATTGTGTCTTAATTAACAAGCATGTTAGCATGCTCTCTGATCACCATATTTTCCGGCATGTAAGACACACTGCCTATGAAGACGCATCCCCTTTTTATACACATTTTTGAAGGATAAAACTTTATTACTGATCATGATAATGAATTTACAGTATTTTAAATATAAATACAAATACAAATATTACATGCTGGGTTCCCGGGCATGCGAGAATAAAGGAAAATGAGCTGGCGGATATCACAGCGAAATCTGCTGTTGAGAATTGACCATTCGCCTCATTCCTTTTAGAGACATCTGTTGTGTCATCAAAGAAAAGATTTTTTTTTAAAAAAAAGGCAGCAACTTTGGGGCGTTCAGCTTCACAACAATTTGAGAAGTGTAAAGCCTAGAATTGAGCATTGGGATTGTACTAGAAATCGTAAGGAGGAAGTTCTTTTGACTTGCCTCAGAATTGGTTGCACTAGAGTGACACATAACAACCTTTTGAAGGCTGAAAATGACCCTGTTTGTTTGAATTGCAATGTTTGTCTATCAGTCCGTCATATTTTAATTGTGTGTCCATGTTTTATTAGTCTTCGTGAGAAACCGTGGCTTACCGTTTGACCGTTTAATTGGAAGAGAGGTTGATTGTAATTTATTTTATTATTTAAAAGAGACTGGCTTTTATTACCTAATGTAATTTGTTTTGAAGATTGTGTATTGTATTTTAATGTGGGCTTTTACCTTGTTTTTATATGACTTCATCCTCTGGATTTGGCACATTTGACCACCTTTTTTTATTTACTAAAATATTGTTTTGATTTCATCAATTTAGATCATCTTACTTCTTGTTTGGCGCATTATAATCATCTTTGGTTTTGTGCGAATTATCTCACTCACCCAGCCGTTCCACTTCTCCTTCATAAATCCCTTAAATGCTTTATTATTGCAGACATCTAAAGGTTGAAGCTGACTAGTTAGGCCTCCTGGAATTACAGCTAACTGAGTTTTCAATTCCTTGAGTTTATTTTTAACATCTTCTGTTCTGTGAGAACAAAACTGATCCCATGCTTGTAGGGCAGGTTTCTTCAACAGTCTGCCAGGGTGCCCCGACCAAATTTTATCTATCCATAACTTCATTCCTCCTCAATCCTTCCAGCCTTTTGCATGAACATGTATAAATACTTATTTAGGAAATTTTTCTTTGGGTAGTGTCTTCCTTTTAAAAATCAATAGTGGGAGCAATTTTGTACTGCCAGCACAGTAGGATAAAACAACCATGTAATGAGTTTTTCATGCCCTGAAGTTTTAACAGTAACACTTTTGGTACCTTTGGTTTCTACAGTTTTGCTTGAGGACGCGTCAAACTCAGAGTTTCAGAACTCAAAACTCAGAGGAACCTTGTCCATGTTTCCTTTTTGTGCAAGTTCAAAATTTTCTTATTTCCATGCGTCAGTGACGAATCAATGAAATTCAATAATTTTTTCTTCATATTGGTCTCTCATCTTTGACAATATTTTTGTTTTAGTCCACATACATAGCTGGTTTCTCTTTGTGAATCTTGGAACACCATGATGTTGATTCAGAAAATCTGTAATCTCTCTATAAGTTGCAATCGCTTTCGCTTGATGAATAATTATTTTTGTAGAGACTGAAAGTCCCGCTTTTCTATGGTCTAAGATCCAAGTATTCAGCTCTGCCTCAGGTTTAGGCCATTACACAGTTTCCCTTCATAGGTTATGTTTACTGTGAGTTGCTTTTTTAGATCCTCTTTCTGATTCTGCCGAATTCTTATCATTTTCTCAGTTGGGGGTAGTCCGAAATGCTTCTCTGCCATCCTGTTTCCATGTTCTTTAGCATAGGCAATCACATGTAGCTTATATGCTATGTTATAGCAATGCCAGCATTGTTTTTGAGCCATAACTTGCCAACAAATTTAAGAAAATTGAACAGTAGAAATTTCACACACTTGAAAGTCATTCACAAAAAATTGGAAATTTTAAATGAACCCAGCTGTGGTCGTCAATGGCAGTGCATGCACATTCACTGAACTCTACATAACTGTAATATTCCCACACTCCACAAAGAAACAAAAACAAAACAAAACAAAAATCGCGTAACTCCGAATAGAGGAAATTTTCAGAAATGAATGTAATCAAAAACTGAGTATCAGCGTATAAGATGCAGCATCGACATATAAGATGCACCCCCCATTTTCAGATTTATTTTCAAAGGAAAAACA